ATTATTATCCTTCCTAGCTCGTTCCAAGTGAGCTTCATCTCTCTCATGTCCCTTTCCACACATCTCCTCCATGTTCCCCGTGGCCTACCCCTGCCAGGAAGAGCAGTAAATTATGTAAAAATGAACTGTTTTCACTGATATTAAAAATGGAGAGTGGGTGGTTGGCGGGTGCTCTGGTGTGGTTTGCTTCTTCTTTCCAATCAAACATCTATCGTCCTTATCTCTCCTCCTTCTGCTTTTTGTGTTTGTTACTCTCTTGTAACACCTCTAGTCTTCTGGCGCTCATATGACCTTATGCAGTTGTGTGCGCAGTAAAACCGCTACTAAAACAAAACAAACTCTTACTAAAACTATTTTTAAAATGGAGATATGTGAAGAAAGCTCGGAGGTCGCGGCCTGTGTAAGAGTGGGATAGTTGAATGATGAGCTGACCTTGTTTCTATGGACGTTTCCCTCCAGGCCAAGTCCCGCCGGCCCACCTCTGCCCCGCACAAGCCGGAGAAACACTGGCACAACCCACCGCCCGCAGCGTTCAACTGGCCCGCGGGCCGCGTGGCCTCTGAATCTCCCGTGAACCACCCGCACGCCTCCCACCAGCACCACCAACATCACCCCACGCTGGGCGCTGTGGCCACACGCTTTGCCAGTCCTCCCGCAGGTGAGTAGGGTTCCTGTGGGTCTTGGGAAACTGGAAAACTTTGGGAGTTTTGTTTTTATTTTTCATGACATGAAAAACTCTTGAAATTTTGGGGAATTGGCAAAATTCTTGGAAAAGTCTTGGAAAAACAAATTTTTAACTAGATTCTAGATCTATTGTAAAAGTATTTTCTCGAAGTTTACAAGAAAGTGTAACAATATATTTTTGCATCCTGAAGGAAAATTTTCTTCCGAAATGACACGTCATTTGTCTTGGAAAAAAGAAATCTGGTCTTGAAAACTCTTGGAAAAAGAAATCTGGTCTTGAAAACTCTTGGAAAAAGAATCAAGAAATTCCTGCTCAGTAGGAACCGTGGGTGAGTCTCGCTGTGGGCCTGGAGCAGACGTCAGATCTCATCCCGCTCTGTCTCTAACCACGTATATGTCTGCCTGCCTGTAGGCGGAAAAACGTATTTAATACACCTTGGAGGTCTGAGCAGGGAAGTCTGTGTTCATACTGGAAAATATCATATTCTCTATGGTCTAGATTTCCTCACGTAGGTGGTTGGCGGGTGCTCTGGTGTGGTTTTCTCCTTCTTTCCTATCAAACATCTATCGTCCTTATCTCTCCACCTTCTTTTTTGTGTGTGCTACTCTCTTGTAACCCCTCTGTTCTTTAGCTTTCATATCACCTTTTTGTGTGTGCTACTCTCTTGTAACCCCTCTGTTCTTTAGCTTTCATATCACCTTTTTGTGTTGCAAGTACCTTAAAAAACTTACTAAAACTAAACAAACAAAAGAGTTGGCCTTTTTGTTTGTGTAAAGTTGAGAATTCTTGTAAAAGCTGTACTACTACGACTAAAGCTAGATCTACGACTGACGTGTGGTTTAGAAAAGTTGAGAAAGTTAGTGTTGCAAGTGGTGTAAAACTGTGGCTAAATCTACGACTGACCTGTGGTTTGTGTGTGGTGTAAAACTGTGGCTAAATCTACGACTGACGTGTGGTTTGTGTGTGGTGTAAAACTGTGGCTAAATCTACGACTGACCTGTGGTTTGTGTGTGGTGCAGGTCACAGCCCGTCTGGCCCAGTGAGCGGAGGGCAGCTACCCCCGGGGTCGTACCCCATGGTGGGAAGTGTCGGGGCACCGCACCACCAGATGGTGATGGGACCCGCGGGCTACGGTGGGCGGCCCGGGTCGCTGGAGGTCCCGCAGCCTCTCAAGATGGCCGACGTGATGGGGGAGGGGCCGGACAGACAGCAGCGCTTCTCCTCCCCCGTCGGGCCCTCCCTGGTCAGCAGCCGGCCACCCAATTACTACCAGCATCACCAGCACCCCTCCTCCACTCTGTGAGTCCTATGTGTGACCGTCTGTTCGGGTCTGTGGGGGTTCTGTATGTGGGTGTGGTTGGCGGGTGCTCTGCTGTCGTGTGCTTCTTCTTTCCCATCAAACATCTATCATCCTAATCTCTCCTCTTTCTTTTTGTGTTTGTTACTCTCTTGTAACACCTCTAGTCTTCGGCATTTCTATGACCTTATTGTGTTGCAAGTGCCGTAAAACTCTTACTCAAACTGAAAAAAGGTACTCTGGTGTGGTTTGCTCCTTCTTTCCTATCAATCATTTATGGTCCTTTTTGCTCCTCTTTTTTGTGTGTGTTGCTCTGGAGTAATAGGTGTCGTGTTTGACACTTGTAGGATTGATTTGTGTTACAAGCACTGGAAAACTCTGCCTGTAACTACAATTGTACAAAACTTTGGTTCTGTTGGTTCGTTGAATACCTTTTCATGACTGCCAACCAGTTTGTCAACAAAGCATTTAGCATGCTTTGGAGGGAGCGAGTAAGGAATTCCGTATTTATACTAGAAAATATACACATTCTTTATGTTCCGTATTTATAATAGAAAATATACACATTCTTTGTGTTCCGTATTTATACTAGAAAATATACATATTCTTTGTGTTCCGTATTTATACTAGAAAATATACATATTCTTTGTGTTCCGTATTTATAATAGAAAATATACATATTCTTTGTGTTCTAGCGACAATAGAAGCTGATAAAAAATCTTCTAGTTTGTTAAGGAAAAATTCCACTAATTAGTTTGTATATTTTTTGTTGGTTAACATCATGCAAAAAAGCAATAATATTTCCATGACAAATAAGTGCGGTGTTCATTACGTAAGACATGTCTATAAAGTCCAATATGGCCGCCGTATCCATGGAAACAAAACTGTTTTCTCAAATTTGATTTGGAATTTTACGACTCCTTACTATGCTTGTTATATGTGGGAAATTTGGTCCAATTTGATCCACTAATGAGCAAAATGTGGGTGGTTGGCGGGTACTCTGGTGTGGTTTGCTCCTTCTTTCCTATCAAACATCTATCATCCTGATCTCTCCTCCTTCTTTTTTTGTGTTTGTTACTCTCTTGTAACACCTCTAGTCTTCGGCACTTCTATGACCTTATTGTGTTGCAAGTGCCGTAAAACACTTACTAAAACTAAAAGTTCTCTTGACCCCGCCTCCAACAGCCGATCGTCCCCCCTGAGCTCATCCAGCCAACACGCCAGTTTGTCCTCCCCCATCGGCTCTTTCCCTGGCGACATGGACCATGACCGACCGGTCTCCTTCCACGGGGCGCCTGGCGACCGCTACAGCTCTCCTAGTCCTTCGCAGCGGGTGAGCTGGTGGTGGTGTTGTTGTTGTTGTTGATGATAGATACAGCTCTCCTAGTCCTTCGCAGCGGGTGAGCTGGTGGTGCTGGTGGTGGTGTTGTTGTTGTTGTTGATGATAGATACAGCTCTCCTAGTCCTTCGGAGTGGGTGGTTGGCGGGTGCTCTGGTGTGGTTTGCTTCTTCTTTCCTATCAAACACCTGTCGTCTTTATCTCCCCTTCTTCGTTTTTATGTTTGTTACTCTCTTGTAACACCTCTAATCTTCTGGCGCTCATATGACCTTATGCAGTTGCGAGCGCCGTAAAAACCTCTACTAAAACTAAACTAGTCCTTTGCAGTGGGTGAGGCAACAGTGGTGGTGGTGTTGTTGTTGTTGTTGTTGTTGTTGTTGTTGATAGATATAGGTGCCCCAGACACCATTTTTCACTGAAGTATGAGCATGTGTTTGGCATGTGTTAATATGTACAAAAGAAGAAGTGAAGCATTAGTGGACTTTGTGCAAGTAGTGACCTCTGCTTTGTTTTGACATCACGTGTTTGTTTTGTGTTTATCAAGTACAATTTGTGGGTGGTTGGCGGGTGCTCCGGTGTGGTTTGCTCCTTCTTTCCTAATAAACATTGATCGTGCTTATCTCTCCTCCTTTTCTATGTACTTTACTTTTACTTTCCTTTCCTCATCCTTACTATCGTCATTTTTCCTCTACTTCTTTTGTATGTTTGTCACTCTCTTGTGACCCGCTATTTCCGGAGTGCCTTGATAGTCGAAGCAGACTTTGTGCTGTTGAGGCTAGAGAGGTGAGCAGAGTAAGCCTGATTCCCTGTAAGGACTTCTCTGTTGACATCCACCCCTTGGCGCTCATATTACCTTATGCAGTTGCAAGCGCCATAAAAACTCTACTTACTACTAACTACTACTAACCATTGATTGTCCTTATCTCTCGTCTTTTTCTATGTACGTTACTCTTTAAAAACACCTCTGTTCTCACACTTATATGACCTATTTTCAAGTGCTGTAAACCCCTCCCAAGAACGAACCATAACTCCCTTTTCCCCGTGACCTTGCAGAGTTACAGCACGTTAGACCGGCTGACCCCGACCTTCAACGAAGATCTGTACACCTCTCGCCTCGCCCGCAACTCTCCACGGGGCCGCCCCTTCCTGGAGGAGGAAGGTCGCCAGACGGCCTTCACCAAGCGCGACAAGGTCATCGAACGAATCCGCATTCCATCCAGCACCAGCGTCAACACAAAGTCCGGCTCTGTGGAAATTGGTGAGTTCTCCACAGTAGGCATGGGAAAGTGGGTGGTTGGCGGGTGCTCTGCTGTGCTTTGCTCCTTCTTTCCTATAGAACACTACTGTCCTTATCTCTCCTCCTCCTTTTTTGTGTTTGTTACTCTCATGTAACGCCTCTAATCTTCGGCACTTTTAGAACCTTATTGTGCTGCAAGTGCCGTAAAACACTTACTAAAACTTAAGTCCAGGGAAAACCTTTGTCTTTATCCCATGTGAGCTCTAAGTTAGGCTGTGTGGAAATTGGTGAGTTTTCTACAGTAGGCTAGGGGAAAACTATGGCCTGTGGGCCCACATCCGGCCCACCAGTAGCGTACATCCGGCCCACCAGTAGCGTACATCCGGCCCACCAGTAGTGTTGGTACGGCCCGTGAGTTGGTCCAGGAATTAATTGTGAATGTAGCCAGAGGTGAGTTGAGAATTATTCAAAACAAAACTGGCCATCTTGAGAATTGAAACCAGCTGGACGCAAGATCTCATGAAACACCCTGCTTCAGGTATCCTCATTATTACTACTATTATTATTATCATTATGTTTATCATTATTAATACTATAATCAGTATTATAATAATTCTGCTCCTTGTAAAGCGTCCACTGTGTGTATGTTGCAGTGTCTGGACGCAGCAGTCCTGGCTCCCCTATGTTCCCGCTGGACCACCGAGGCTCGCTCAAATACAAGTGTTGTCCGAGTAGTGATGAGTATATCTACCGCAGGAAGACGTGAGTGTGTGTGTGTGTGTGTGTGTGGGTGTGTGTGTGAGTGTGGGTGTGTGTGTGTGGGTGTGTGTGTGTGTGAGTGTGTGTGTGTGA